GAGGACTGGTTAGCGCACGCGTGCAATCGCACCACTCGTGCATTTGCTCAAAGAAAACGCAACGCAAGAAAGCATCAAACTGCGTGCTGCCCACGATCCGACACAGTCAAAACGAGGTAGAAAACAAATTCTCCTCTATTGATATATGATCCGACCCTCACACAGACGAAGCCACGGGAAGGCCCGAGGCCGCAATGTGCGTCGAAAGAGTAAGTGCTCAGTGTGTCCTGCAATTCACACCAAGTCTCGCAGCTGGCTGCGTTCTTCATCGACCCGAGAACCGAGTGATCCACCGCTTAGAGTCGTTTCAATGTTTTTGGATTTTTCAATCAGTACGACAAAACACAAGTTGTTGTTTTTTTTCGCGCCCGGCACATCCCATGCCATCTCGAAAGCGCAAAAAAAAGGCCTCTTCTCAAACGCCTCTTCGTTAATCAAAACAAAAGGGCGATCCTCGAGAAGAGACGAAAAAGAGGGCGATGCGCCTTTTGTAACCCGCGGATTGTCCCGGTGCACTTGAAATATCCTCTCAATCGAGGCAGCAGAGGGATCCCGCTGGGCGCATCATCGAAAGGAACGGAGGCCACCCAAAGAAAAAGGCACATCCGAACCACAGTTTTTTTTTTTTTTTGTGTCGTCCCGACGGCATCCAAGCTTGGTCGGGATCGGCGCCAGATAAATTCGCACATCGAGTCCATTCCCCGTACAAGAGGAAGAAGACAACGATGCAAAATAACATCCGGTAATGATCCTTCCGCAGGTTCACCTACGGAAACCTTGTTACGACTTTTACTTCCTCTAAATGATCAAGTTTGGTCATCTTTCCAACACACCGGCGCAACCGAAAGGCCGCTCCGGGTCTCGGTCCGAAGACCTCACTAAATCATTCAATCGGTAGTAGCGACGGGCGGTGTGTACAAAGGGCAGGGACGTAATCAACGCGAGCTTATGACTCGCGCTTACTGGGAATTCCTCGTTCAAGGGGAACAATTGCAAGCCCCTATCCCAATCACGAAGGAGGTTCCACGGGTTACCCAGTCTTTACAGACAGGGATAAAAACACGCTGCTTCCTTCAGTGTAGCGCGTGTGCGGCCCCGGACATCTAAGGGCATCACAGACCTGTTATTGCTCTGTTTCGTGCGGCTAGGAGCCGCTTGTCCCTCTAAGAAGGGTGCAAGGTGCAGAGAACCACGCACCTATTTAATAGGCTAGAGTCTCGTTCGTTATCGGAATTAACCAGACAAATCGCTCCACCAACTAAGAACGGCCATGCACCACCATCCACCGAATCAAGAAAGAGCTCTCAATCTGTCAATCCTCCCAGTGTCCGGGCCGGGTTGTTTTCCCGTGTTGAGTCAAATTAAGCCGCAGGCTCCACTCCTGGTGGTGCCCTTCCGTCAATTCCTTTAAGTTTCAGCTTTGCAACCATACTTCCCCCGGAACCCAAATACTTTGGTTTCCCGGAAGCTGCCCGCCGAGTCATTTGAGTAACTCAGGCGGATCGCTGGTTGGCATCGTTTATGGTTAGAACTAGGGCGGTATCTGATCGCCTTCGAACCTCTAACTTTCGTTCTTGATCAATGAAAACATTCTTGGCAAATGCTTTCGCAGTAGTTCGTCTTGCGACGGTCCAAGAATTTCACCTCTAGCGCCGCAATACGAATGCCCCCGTCTGTCCCTCTTAATCATTATCCTGTATTCCAAAAACCAACAGAACAGAAACAGGATCTTGTTCTATTATTCCATGCACTGTTATTCAGGCGAATCGCCTGCGTTGAGCACTCTAGTTTTTTCAAAGTAAACGCGCCGGCCAAAGCAAGGCACCTGATGAAGGGAACCAAGCCACGACAGGCATGATGTTCAGCACGGGCCGTAACGTGGTGTCCACGCACTTCCCGCCTGTAACTGAGATCCAACTACGAGCTTTTTAACCGCAGCAACTTTAGTATACGCTATTGGAGCTGGAATTACCGCGGCTGCTGGCACCAGACTTGCAAAAGAGTCCCGTATTGTTATTTTTCGTCACTACCTCCCCGTGCCGGGAGTGGGTAATTTGCGCGCCTGCTGCCTTCCTTGGATGTGGTAGCCGTTTCTCAGGCTCCCTCTCCGGAATCGAACCCTGATTCTCCGTTACCCGTAAAAACCATGGTAGGCGCATAACCTACCATCGACAGTTGATAAGGCAGACACTTGAAAAAAACGTCGCCGGCTCGTGGCCGTGCGATCAGCACAAAGTTATCCAGAGTCACCACACAAAACGGACCGAAGCCCGATTGATCTTGGTCTAATAAAAGCACCCGTCGCCCCGAGGGGCTTCGGGCTCACTGCATGTATTAGCTCTAGAATTGCCACAGTTATCCAAGTAGGAAGAAACGATCTAAGGAACCATAACTGATTTAATGAGCCATTCGCGGTTTCGCCTTGTTTCGGCATGTACTTAGACATGCATGGCTTAATCTTTGAGACAAGCATATGACTACTGGCAGGATCAACCAGGTAATCTTTTCGTGGTGGGTCGTCCAAAACCCTACCAACGCGCGGACGCGGGGCCACCGTCAGGCGCCCCTTACGAACCGCAAACACACACAACGCTTAGGAATTACTTCCAAATCCAAGAAGAAATGAAGCACGTTCGAGCGCGCAGCCGGAATATCCCCGACCGAGGTCGGTACCGACGCGGCAAGAAGCGCATAAATTTCTTTCTCGTCGTAGCAACAGAAAGTCGTACACCAAAAAAATCATTGACGACGCCTTCGCAGCGTTGCCGAGCTTTCAGGTCCCGTGAGGACGCGAGGACGCACCCCGGCTTTCGGTCAGAACGCACTCGTCATTTCACACCGTTCGGTTAGCGCGGACGCTCCGAAACACCCTCCTCTCGCATTCGTTTTCAAGACACCGGTGCACCCGAGAACCGACCCCAACGGCAGACGCCAGAGATCGCAGGTACCTTGCTGTAACGACCATGCGGCGGAGGCAGCGGCCGAGACGGCGACGAAAGGCGTCGGCGACGTCGTCAGACGCCGCTCGCACCAATCGAACGCTCGACAGACCCCACCTCCACGTAATAGCACCGATAAGTATAAAGAAGATCCTTCAAGAGCATTCTGTACATAGTTTATGGTTATCAGTTTCGGTGACTGACTGACTGACTGACTGACTGACTGACTTACTTGTCTCTCACTCATGTGGCTCCTATTTGTCCTTCTTTCTTTCTTATTTTTTCCCCTCTCTCTCTCCTTATATATATATATGTGTATGTATGTATGTTTGTGTGTATATATATATATATAAATGTTCTTTTTTTCCTGTCTGCCTCTATATATACATACATACGTAGATACATCCTACCCCTATAAAAAAAATTATTTCTCGCTTTTTATTAAAAACGTGCTGACCCCTGCTTGACTCTGATTACTTCTTTTCGACTTTCAGTTCATGTTAACATGGTCAACAGAAAGTTTATCGACTTTGTTATTACAAAGTAAACCAATATTTACACGGGGCGTTTCATGCGTTTTGAATTGTGTCAGAGCCGAACAATGAGCGCTATAGTAAGTGAGATTGTCACTGCTTTTAATCCGAATGCTCGCGGTATCGCGCGTGTTTACGGCAGGCTTCATAATAGGCAATTTTCTTTCTTTACACTACTCTTCTTTGCTCACTTCATTGTTTCTACCATTGGTTTCGTTTGGAAGGCCCCGCCACTTAGTTTCCGACAAAGTCCTCTCAAGGAACGAAGTGAGAAGCACGGGATTAACAAAAGAAAAAGATGCGTGTTTTCTAGCGGTTACCCGTGTCGCGAGGCGACACGGGCTTTCTGGCGGTTTCAGCTGGGCGAGAGCCGAACAATTTACCCTACTGCACTTGCGACGGGCAGCGCTTTCAAACGGAATACTGGAAATCTCGCTTACTTTTCTGGCAAGTTTGATAGGAGACAAATATTATTCTTTTCACGCGAATTGTTCGCTCTATTTCTTATCTCTCTCTTCCGTGTCCTTGGCATGGAACGCCCGCTTCGTCTCCCACAAAGTACTTCCGAGGAATCAAGTGCAAATCACGCGACTTTAAAATGTGCGTGTTTTATTATCGGTTACCCGAGTCGCTTTGCGCCACGGGCTTTCTTGCGCTTTCAACTGGGCCAGAGCCGAACACTGTACACTACTGCACTTGCCATGGACAACGCTTTCAAACGGAATACTGTGAGATGTCGCGTGCTTTACTGCCAAGCTCAATAAGAGACGAATTTCTTTCTTTTCACGGTAATTATTTCCTCTATTTCTAATCTCGCTCTTTCGTTTCATTGGGAAGGAACGCGCGCTTAGGTAGCCGCAAAGCAGTCTGAATTAATCACGTCCAAAGTACAGACTTTTACAATATATAGTGTTTTTACCGGTTGACCGCGTCAGAAAGCGTACATTTCCGACGAGGTCTGTGTCGCTTTGACGTGAGCGGGAGCAACGCGATTTGGGCTAGTGCACGCGAGATTGGCAGCACTTCCAATTCCAGTACTGTAGATATTGCGTGCATTTTTTACACGCTTGAGGATGTGGGATTTTCTTTCTTGTGACGTGACCCGTTTGTCAAATTGTGTCTTGCTTTTTGGTATCGTTTAAGAAGCCCGTCCGCTTACAATCCTAAAAAAGAAAAAAGAAAAAAAAAAGAAATTAGTAAAGAAAGACGCCCATACTTTTTTGTTGCTCTTTCTTTTATTATCTGCGCAGGATTTTAATTTGTATAAGTTTTGTTTACCATCCTGACTACGTAGGCGTTCGTACATGCCCGTCCTCGCGCCTCGAATTGTGTGCGAGCGAAATCAATCTCCCCAAGCTAGCTTCAGAAATTGCTCGAAAATCGAACGTGAGGAAAGCCAGAGATACGTGGTTTTCACAGGTCGTGCAAGATTAATCCATAAAGTGCGATATTGCTATATATATATATATATATATATATATATATATATATATATATATATATATATATATATATATATTATATATATATATATATACATACATACATACATACACATACATGATTTCTGCGACAAATAGGAAGACAAAAAGACCATGTTCAAGCATAATATAGGAACATTGACACTTTGCACACACAAGGGAGGTCAAATGGCAGGTTTTTCTTCCTTGTGCAGGAAACTTTATTGCAATGTCAGAAGGGAAGTTCCACTCTAGAATTGTGCGCTCAATAAAGGAGGAAAGGAAATGCACTTGAAAACCTTCACAGTTCAAGTAAGAGAACATTTCGAAACGACAGTTTGTTTTCTTGCAGGGAGGAGAAGAGGGGAGAGAGGGAGGGAGGGAGGGAGGGAGGGAAGGAAGGAAGGGGGGGGGGGGGGGGGTGCCATGCACGGTGAAGACCAGAGTGTCGAACCGAAAACCGAAGCGAACGAAAAACCGGAACCGAGGAGTTAGTTTCAGCCGAACCGAAACTGACGCGCCAACTTGGAACTGTACGGAAGAAAATATAACTGTCTATGAGTCTGACGATGAATAGAAGTACAAGGGTGTACGGCAGGGATAGCTGAAAAAAAAAGGCTCTATGGACTTGGAGCGGCAGCCCAAAGTCGATGACGACGAAAAGAAAGCACACAGTTTCGGAAAACAGGCGGTAAGAAAGCGACAAATTAAGTAGCCGTCATGTCGAGTTGATTGCTTAGCTCTATTTAAGATGAAGGAAAAAAAAAAGTAGCACAATTGATGCTTACTTGCTAAATTGAATCAACCATTATCTTGCAAAGAAAAAAAACCTCAAATGCCAATCACCTGTATTTTAGGCGACCCAACAGACTGATAACTTTTAAATTCAGGCTAAAATATAACACAAAAAAAACAAGGAAAGACAGATATGTATGTAGCTTGTCATTTACTGCTCCATCAAATTTAAATAAAGCAAGTTATTTCTCGGCACCTGAAAATAAGCGAACTCTACAAATGAATGGAAAGCTACCCGTTTGCACTCTTGAAATTGCGAAAAGAAGCACGAGGTAAATATAATATCACTTTAGCTTCTTCTTTTTCTTTTTAATAGGGTACGCTGTTGGTTCATCTTAGTAAAATATATAAAATAGCGCAAAAAAGACAAGGACAAGGAGTATACAGGACAGGCACTCACTTTCAACTAGTTTTATCCAGGAAAAGTAAACATACATATATAGCTTTTATTCACGATAAGTGCCGAGGGCAGCCGAGAAGGCGGCAATAGCCCCGGATGGTTTGATCGTGCTGGGAGACACCAGCATCCCAGCTCAAATATCTTCTGCCCTTAAGAATATGTGCTGCTTTGCCTGTCGTGTGTATATACATGTTCACTTTTCCTGAATGAAACTAGTTCAACATCAGCGCCTGTCCTGTATACCTCTTGTTCTTCTATTTGTTGTGCTATTTTAATGTCCTACATTACTCTTGTGCTCCCGCAAATCGAAGCAAACCAATAAAAAATTCGGTTCGACACTCTGGTGGAAACTAAAAGCTTAGAAAGAAAGAGGAAAAAAAGAAAAAGGAAAACATTTCTACAATAATGATAAGCAGGAGGAGGAGGAGGAGAACAAGAAGGCTAATAATGTGGAAAAAAAGACACGACCCAAATAAATCAATACAAAGGATGGTATAAGTCATGCATACTTACCACATGTAAAATTAATTTTAAAAAAAATTAGAAAAAAAAATGTGTATTTATATATATATATATTTTTTTTTTGTTTTATCCAGAGGCTTTGGCGCACGCACAGCACTGCACTGCACTGCACTGCACTGCACAACACAACACAACGAGAGACTTTCCACAAACACACCACTGCGTACGAGGACACGACCACGTAGAGCTGCTCGAAAACAAGCGCCGTAACTTGATAAAAAAAGATCCTTTCACTGGACGGACGGCACAATAACGGAAACTGCTCAAAGAGCACACACACACACGACACATATTAATGAATTAATAAGGGGCACAAGTAGAACCTAGTTGAGCAATACGTAGGACACGGCACCCACACCAGAGGCCTTGCACAAGCACAGCACTGAGCACTGAGCAGCAGGTCACAGGACAGAAATTACGTCCACGCTGAGTAGGCCGAAGGCAGGGAATTACGGACGCACGCGAGGTCACCCACAGGCACTTTCACCGGAACCACGCCACAACACCACGCTGCGGAGCGCGCACTGCAAAGCGAAACCATGCGCTCACCTTCGGAAACCACGGAGGGCGGGCGGCGCAGAGAAGCAAAAAGACGTCGAAAGCACATCGCGATGAAGCGGCGGCGAATGAACACTACTCACTGGTGGAAATGGATATCTCCTCAAGCGAAAACATGCAATGACCACGCATGGTTTAAGATGCACGTGGGAGACGCGCACACTTTCAGAAACCAGGTACGCCAACGCACGCGGGCAATAAGACGGACCAAACGCGTCGAAAATACATCGCGTGCAAGCAGCGCCGACTGCATACTACTCACGGCTGCAAAGGTTTCTTACAAGTTTCCACTC